AAATCACCTGTCGGATTAATCTATTAAAGTTAGTTGCACTTCTCTAATCTGTTTAGGCTATTCTACTGGATTATTTATTTATGATTATTACTATTACTACGTTTATTACTATTATTATTATTATGATAATTATTCCTATTATCTTCTCTATAATTATTCTTATTGTTATTATTGTTATTATTATTATTATTATTCCTATGATTATTCCAATTATTATGATTGTTAAAGCTATTCTATTATTATTTAATCTTCACTTTCTTAGTTATTTTAAATTAAATCAAAAAGTATTTATTAACATGTATTAAATTCTTTAAACTCTTTGAATTGGTGCATTAATGGTTTAGTTTTACAATACCAATTGTAATTTATTTTAGCAATTTAAGAATTATAATCGTTTTAATTTAAATCAATTTTACTATCATTTTTTATGTACTCATTCAGTTCAGCATGAAAACTATATTCAATATACTAAGGCTCCTTTGAATATAGATCTTCTATCCATTCTTTTACAAGATTATCTATTTAAAGTAAGGATTTCATCACGCGTGATTTCAATTCAGACACCAAATGCTATACTTTTTCGATCTTTTTTCTATTAAGCTCCAATGTTTCTTCAATAAATTTTGCTTTACTCTTCTATCCTTCTAAGATCATGGATTCTACAATTTTGTAGAATTATATTTTTTATAAATGATTTTGCTAATTGCTTTGTACACATTTACTACAATAGAATTTCTTATTATTTGGTAAACTTAAATCAAGTGCAACAATAATAATAGGTTCATTATGTCCATAAGCACAAACTAATTCTTCATCTTTTTCTAACATTTTTGGTTTGATCCTACTCATATTAAATTATTTAATTAATTAATTGAATTATAAAGTTTGGTTTGTTTTAAAGTTAAAATCCTTCTAGAACATAATTAAATTAATTATATTTCTTCTTTCTTGTTGGCTTCATAGCTAAGCATAATTAAAGAAATAGCCCGTACAATGAATAGTCTATATATAACTTTATAAATATTTATGATCATTTCAAAATATAAATAAAGTAATACGAATTTGAAATGTTGAATAAGGCACATAAACTTTTGCCTCATTTATAACTATTTATTTAATTATTATTGAGAAGATTTCCTATTGTATAAGTATACACAGTGTTATTATATTATAAAGCCTGTTTGTTACATAAATCTGGTCATAGAATGCTATCGATTTATATCCACAACCTGATATCAATAAATAGTAGGTTATTAGTTGAAAATATGGATAAGTGATCCTTTTTTTGGTAATTAATGGTATTGGTTAAGAAGAAACATTTACTTTTCACGTTCTCCCATTATTTATATTAAGGGAGAACAAATTTTTTTAATAATAAAATACATAAGTTCTATCAACAAATTAAAATAACAAAATATATTCAATTATAAAGGACATCACTATTGAATTTTAATTGAAAATTCATTCATTATGTCTACAGGAGATACATACTTTATTGGTATTAGATAAGAGATTTTCCAAAGATGCATACATGTGATGAAATTTATGATTTAGAATAATCAACTATTTCATCTCATAATTTCTTTACTATTTTGACCAACCAAGTAAAGATTTAGGTTATTTAAGAACAGTGATATATATGATAAAATCAGCCTTTCATAAAAATTCATATTGTAATTCTTTCATATTTTAGGAAAATAATTACATTTATAGATATCCAATTTTGTAAAATTCCCTTATGAGAATGTGCATGAGCTATAATCAGAAAATTATCCTCCTGTATTTATTCTTTCCATCATTTATAGACAGCAGCTTTTATATATGTCTTTCCAGTAAGCTGCTATAAAATATTTTTTTTTTGTATCTTAAAGCAATTTAAGTATTAGGAATCTTATTTTCAATGCCTAACGTAATAAATTATCTCATCCTGGAATTAAATAAAACGACTTATAATTTTACTTTAGTCCTTTCTATTAATAATTTATCTTGAAGCTAATATTCTAATCCAAATACTGTTGCTATTGATGTAATTTATTGGTCTTAACTAAAATACATTCCCAAATCATTCCTAACAGTTAGCCAGAAGTCTTTGATTCTTCATATTAATATGATAAATAGGACAAAGAATAATTTTCGAATTTCATTTGAATATCAAACGTACCGATATTTCTGATTTTCAGTGACACATCTTGAGGAATACATCTGAATTTCCTCCAAAATAGAGACAAGTAATCAGCTTCTCCTGAAATAATAATTTCAATTTAAATATTTTTCTCAAAATTAAATGCTTTTTCTCCTTAAGTCTCTATTTCAATCTAATAAACAGTGCCAATTATTGGGCAATAAAATATAAACAATCCTCCGATAAATGCACGAAAGAAAGTTTTACTGAATACATATGTCAGAGCATGATTAAAATTGACAATGCAAATACTTCTACTTACTCATAACCATATTTATCAAACGCTTTATCGGTTTCTTAATATATTTATACAATTTATATAATATTCTTACGCTGCTTTCTCCTT